TGGGTGATTCTGCCACCAGACATCATTTTGAGACATCAAGCAGAAGAATGTCCAGAATGGCCACAAGCACCCACTATTGTTCTGAATACAGCAGGACTCCATCGGGTGGGGAATCTGACTTTTGGTCAATGCATCTTCGGGAGCCTTGGTAATCACCTGCTATGTTTTGCCACCTGAATCCATAAGCCAGTGGTTAGCAAATGCTCCCTTTACCCTTGGTGCTGAATGTGTGTCCCTACCAACGTCAAGGGCCTTGAGGTCTCAGAGTGGCAGCCTCTTTAGCAGCCTCTCCCTGCCAGCTCCCCAATCAAGGACAGTCATTAATTTCCTTTCCAATGTTGAGCTCATGGCCCAGCCAACCTTGCCGCCCATTCTCATCCACAAGGAATTTGATGAAGGACAGATTAGCCAGAGCTCAGCTTCCCTTCACAGCCCAAGGGGCAGAAAGTTCCTAAGCTCTGCTGCGCGACACATCCTGTTGGCACCATGGGAACCTGACGGTCCCTGGAGCTCGGTGCTCACCCGCAGTCCCATTCAGGAAGCTATGCTGCCCTTCGCGGTGCTCTGGCTGGAAATACCATGGAAATTCCATCACCTAAAACCCCCCAGTGCCTTCACCGAGTTCCACTCAGTAGGCAGAACACCCATCTTATCTTGCTTGGAAAATACACTTCACCCCACAGAAAGGCCATGGGAATAAAAGATTGCAGCGTTCAGAATATCGAAAGATGACAGACAACACAGGTTGGAAGGCCTTTATTTGAGGACCAGAGTGTTTGGGTTTCAGAGTGTTTTTTTTTTTTAGTTGCACATGAATAATAAGATAGCTTAGGGATGGAACCAGGTAAAACACAATCCACTTATATTTCCTTTATCCAAAACTATTTCTGTTTGCTATGTAAGCCTGCCTTTTAGCTATGACCCAGCTCCCTAGGGTGGTCATGGCAGTTTCTGTTCATGGCACATCAGGTCTGTGCTTGAAGCATTTCCATTTTTTTTAAATTTTAGATTTTGAATTAGGAATGTTCAACGTCTATCTACGGACCAACCCATGACTCCTGATTCCCTGCAGAAAACCTAGAACAAGTTTCGCAGTCCACGAGGACCATTCTCAGAGTCAAGATGGACAACCAAAGGCCTCTTCCTCCTTTTCCTCTTGGCTGAAGGTCATCTGGTGAGTTAGACGCATGACAACCTATTCTCTCTTAGGTTCTCTGATGAGTGTCTCCAAGCATGAAGTCTGGCCTGCCTGTATGCATAGATAACTACAGCCTTGGGAAAGCAGCGACTGTCCCATCAGGACATGCTTCTTACCGCATTGGTTTTCATACTTTGGAAAGTACTATTTCTTTCCTTTGAATCAGAACAAGGAATGAGGACCAGAGCATCCTGACTGTGGCAGGAACTAAGAAAAGCTGACCTTTTTCTAAATTCACTTGAGCAGCAGGCTTCACAGGATCTGTGGCATGTATCAGACATTTTCTTTATGGTGTGTGTGGATTTGAACAAATGCCTAATAAGAGATATTTATTGCCCCTGTGATGTCCCCTTCCCTACCCTGGGTCCTCTTAGCTCTGGTGTCCTGCCTCAGAATAGGACCAGCCACTGGAAAGAACAATTAAACAGCAAACCTCATGAAAGCTTTAATTCTGAAACAGATGTTTCATAAACAGGACATAGACACATGGATGTAGGTTGTCACATTCTCTGCACACCTTGTTCCCCAATCTTTCCCCAGCAGGCTTGCTCTGGACCTTGGTTCTGCCTTGAGCATTCTGAGGTCTTGGGAATGAACTCATTCTTATCCTGGTCTCCAAAGGCAGTTCCCACGACTACTCCGTCATGCAGTCTGCTAACATCTTTCTGATCTCCTCCAGGTGTCAATAATGGTGCCACTCAATTGTGACACTCCACATGCTGTCCTTTGGCTTCTGGATAAAGCCCTGAGTGACCCAGTCCCCCCCTGCTGTTCAGGCTTCAACAGAAGGCCTGACCCAAGTCCTTACTGGCAGTGAACTCAGTTGCCGGATCTGTGGAGCAGGTGGTAACCTAGGAGGTCATAAGACAGCACTGTATGGGAGATGCTGAGAGCATGCAGCAGGTGACTGTGACAGGTGGGGACGGAACAAGAGACAAGAGCTAGAGAAGCCCAGAGAGAGCCTGAAATGAGACTTGGACAGCAACTGGAACCTGGGGACAGAAAGGGAGGGTCTTCGTGACTCTGAGGAGGGTGGTGGTGAGGGGCTACCCACTATAGCCACATAACCGTGACCTGAGGCATAGCAGTACCTTCTTATCCCGAGCTAGCTACTAACAGGTAGCTCTCTGGCCATCACCTGCTAGCCTCCTGGGTTAGTAAGGAGCCACCGTGGAGATTTGGAACTGATCAGCAAAAAGACTTTAGTGCACATCGGCATCCTAAAGCACAGCGTAACTTTGAGTCAGTCTCTCCAGCGACCCAGTCAGTCGGCCTTATTTTACTGTGAGCTAAAAATTTTACGTGAAGGCACCGAAAGGAAAATTTGCTAAAACATCTACTCAAAGATGCAGGGCCACTATCCTTGATGGTCCCAGATGCAACAGGGAATCTTTGGCAGATCTCACCCAGGCTGATTTTGAGAAGAGGGGAAAACGATGAAGGTGAACGTGCCTTGAAGGGAGGTGAAAAAGTCAACGGTCTTTGCATAGTGAGACAACTGGCTGCTTAAGAAACCTGACACTGAACTGACTGGACAGCTGCTTGCTAAAGTAACAGGTCACACTGCAGAGGTCAAGGCCTGGGGCCCGCCCGACCTTCCAGTGACACCGGCAAGCTATGCAGGGAGATGAAAAACGCTGTCTGTGTACTCAGAGAGAAAAAGGGGTGTCGAGAGGCTTAGTGATGACTAACTTCATCCCTTACTACCCAGTAACTGAACTGTTACAGGGTTATGGACCTGTCCATACAAACTTCAACACCGTTTGTCATACAATGGACCTAGGAATGGACAGAAACAAGAATCAGACCAACGAAAGACAGGATTCACTCAGAGTCAGCCCCAGCAGCCTGAAACCATTCTCCTTGTTTTAGTTTTTGCAGTCACATGAAATTACTATGACGCTAAGATCAGTTACTGAAAACCCTCTTCCACCATCCCAGCGAATCTAATCTCTTTGACACCTCCGTCCTCTTGAACTCATGTGTGTAAAACACGTAGTACTGGCGCAGTGGGACACCCATGATTTGGAAACAACGCTAGACACCAAACAGGACTTTCCCCTGGCTCAGTGGGACACCCAGGATTTGGAAACAATGCTAGACACCAAACAGGACATTCCCCTGGCTCAGTGAGACACCCAGGATTTGGAAACAATGCTAGACACCAAACAGGATATTCCACTGGTGCAGTGGGACACCCAGGATTTGGAAACAACACACTAGACACCAAAAGGGAACTTCTACAATATGGGATGAAAATCACAGTTGCAAGATTTTGCTGGCACAAGACTCCACAGTGACTCCATCTTCTCTGGTTTGCCTCCCTCACAAATGTATTCATTTTCTCAAACAAATGTACAGTCCTGGCCTGATGTCTGCCCAGAGAAATTCTGTTCTTTAAAATTATGACAGAGTAATGCTACTAAATCAGAAAGTTCTTGGTTGATAAAGCTATGTTGACTCTCAAAAATATTCCTTCTAAGTTCCATAGTAACAAAGTAAGTCGGGTGTGCCCTTTTCACCACAACTATCACGTACGGTTTTTAGTGCTTTGTTGTTTTCCTCACATGATAGATGTCAAGCTCTATCGATTCTAGCTTATCCCTAAAAGAATTATAAGATGTCAAAGTTCAAGAAGAACAAGACAGAAGCCATTTGGGACGCCATGATCAGACCCTTCCAGACTTATCTCTGTGCCTCTTTGCAGCAATAAAGTAGGACTTGTTCATGGAAGCATGTGTGCAGCTTTCTCCAACCCTAAACTAGACATCTTTTCATTTTAGCCCCTTGGGAGCATGTTCAGAAACCGTCAGGAACTTTATTCTCCATTTCTGTTGGACTTTCCATATAACACTCTCAACCTTCGTGTTCACCGTAAGACTTGCACCTCGGGCTTTGGCCAGCACTCCTGATTGTTTTCTCAGTGTGGATGGTTGCAGAACGATTTCTAGGTCAGAGCGTTTTGCCATTTCGCTGCTGTGACACATTCCCCCTGGGAAGTAGTCTACCGTTCCACAAGGGCTCTGTTTCTCAGGCTTCATGGGGGCTGGGTATAATACATGTTCTCAACTTTCTCCAGTGTAGGAGGTAGAGAACAGGAGAGGGGCTGGAGCGATGGCTCAGCGGTTAAGAGCAAGATTCGGGTTTCTGAACCCTTCTCGGGCAGTTCCCAATTCTCTGCAACTCCAGCTTCAGGGGATCCAATGCCTCTGGCCTCTGAGGGCACCTGCGCTCACGTTCACAGCACAGTCACGATTAAAATAAAAAGAGGTAGAAGACTGTCTTCTGAGTTTGTATGTCTCTGGTTGTTAGAAGAAATCAGTATTTTAAAGTTTATTAGCTATGTTAATCCATTATTTTATGAATACCTTATTTCAAAATTCCTCGATATTTCGAGAAAGTCCCTATTATTTCTTCTAATTGCTGTCATATGGGCTGAAAGTTTCCACAAGGCACACTTACTTTTCATTTTTCACCAATCAGCTTAACGTCTAGCTGCTTCTAGTTTTTGAAGTTTAAGAAAGTACTGGTAAATGTCCCCTGGTAAATTCCAATCATGGCATCATGCTTGCAAACACCACATTTAGACACAAATCTGTTTTACTATTAAAATGCTATTTGAAAACGTTTCATTGGGTTACGGTTTCATTTCAAAAGCATCTTTCGGTCATTAATCCAGTGGGACTACATCTGGCTCATCAGCTAAGGAGCTAGTCCACCAGCTAACCAATGACTTCATCGCAATTTTGGAGAACGCATTCAGCAATTATTTAAATATTACTAAGACAGATGGAGAGATAGGCCCGATTTTACTTGGGGTGACGTGACTAGTGCCTTCAAATATTTTGCCTTTTCTCACGTGGAAGAGCGATTAGTGAAGTCTGCCTGGCCCTAGAGAGCAGAGCTTGGAGTTCAGGCATGGAAGGAAGTGACACTCACCAGCAATCATGGAAAACTGACCCATTCATGGAGAGGACAGTAAGAGACCCCACGTGGACTCAAGACAGTCACCTTGGCAGGATTGTCTCCACCCCAAAGCAGACCTGTGAGAGCTCCCCTGGCCTTCCAAGGGCAGGCGGGTAACTAGCAGTGACGTCATTGCACTAGTGGTCTAGATGTGTCTGGTTCATAATGGGCACCCTGACCCCAACTCTGCCCCATGTGAGAAGACAGCCAGGACCCTGGTGGCAGCTGTCCATTCTCTCATGGCTGGGAATCTGGGAAAGTATTTGCTCTGTTTATTTTGGGCCAGCAAAGGCGCATCTTGTTTGTGTGTAGATGTTTAGCAACAGAGAGATTGGGAAGTCTAAATTTAATAAATACTAAAAATATCGTTGTTCCAATACGAAATACGATTGGCATTTTCCCACCTGGTGGACTGCTGGGGACATGCATCCCAGGATCCCACAGCATGAAGATTGGCGTGAATTTTTTCATCTCAGGAATTTTTTTCTGGTCTGGAGCCTGGCATTTCTTCCATGAGCCCAGTATGCTCAGCTATCTCATCTATTTAAGGGCATGACACTTTGTCCTTAGAATTTCAAATATAGGCAAAATGCCGCTGGTTGACATTCTCAGCAAATCCGAGAGAGCTAGTTAATACTACCCTGACAAAGAAGTTATGGCAGCCTGGGCCTCCCTTGCAGCTCAGGACCTCCCTTGTGGCTCCTGCCGAGACCCCAGGAGCTCAGTTGGGCCTCAGATATTATCTCCATGCCTGTGGAGACATCTACCTGCAGTCAGGAAGGAGGGAAGGGAGAAGAACTTGAATAGTCCACAGTAGGGGTGAAGGGAATGAAGTGTGGATGGGGTGGGAGTGGAGGACCTGATCCCGTGGTCCACTTGACCTTTAATGAGGTTGCTTTGCTGTAATTAGCTATGGTCAACAACCCCCGAGGTGGCCAAGTAGCTTCCTCGGGCAGGTGAGCAAGCCTTTGGGGCCACCATTTTTACTTTCGTCACCTGGAACCAGGGAATGATAAATGGAGGGGGTCACTATGAGAAATGAATGTCCCTGTTTCTCCTGCGCACTCACGCACACGTGTGCAGTGTTTCTGTTTGCTTCACATTCAGATTTATCCAGGATACAGGACAGTTGCCTACGGGTAGGTGAGGAACGGCCAGGACACTCATCTCAAAGCCCTACCACCACTGTTAAGAGTGTCCCTAGGCATCTGTGTGAAAAGGCACCTGCTGTATCAGTCAGCTTCAGGTCACTGTGACGAAATACCTGAGACAATGGAAGGTTTATTTGGGTTTATATTTTCAGAGGTTTTCTCTCGGCCTGTTGCTTTGGTACTTGCAGGAAGTTATCACATCCAGGATCTGGGTGGGAGGACTTGGTGGCATAAGCAGCCAGGATGTGAAAGGAGAGTGGGAGACTAGGGGTCTTGGGGTCCCAATGCCTCTCCAAGGGCTCTTTGCCATTGTTCTAGCCTCTTCCCACTAGAACGTACTTCAACATTTCTTCTCATTACTGTCAGACTGGGAGTCACACCTTTAAACGGCACCACGTTAGAACTGCTGATACAAACCATGGTACTTCTGGAACATGAGCAGCACAAGGAACAGCAGAGACATCAGAATAAAACCAGTGGTGTGGAGCACCAGGGAGCAGCGGTGTGGAGCACCAGGGAGCAGCAGTGTGGTGGAACACCAGGGAGCAGCAGATGGAGCACCAAGGAGCAGCGGCGTGGAGCACCAGGGAGCAGCGGCGTGGGGCACCAGGGAGCAGCAGCGTGGGGCACCAGCGAGCAGTGGTGTGGAGCACCAGGGAACAGCGGCGTGGGGCACCAGGGAATAGCGGCGTGGGGCACCAGGGAGCAGCGGCGTGGGGCACCAGGGAGCAGCGGTGTGGAGCACCAGGGAGCAGCGGCGTGGGGCACCAGGGAGCAGCGGCGTGGGGCACCAGGGAGCAGCGGTGTGGAGCACCAGGGAGCAGCGGTGTGGAGCACCAGGGAGCAGCGGTGCAGAACATCAGGGAAGAGTAGAGACTCTGGGCCTAGGCTTTCCTGGATTGTTATCTGAGACTTTTGCCCTTTTGATATCAGAGGAAATAAGGGCTGAGGCCAGACCACAAATGGCACTATGCAACTGTTTTCCTGTTGGAAACACTTGCGTGCTATAGTGATGGATGGGAGGAAGGCGTGGAGGGGCTAGGGCCGACTGCAGGACGAGGCTCTGTGTTCACCTAAGCCAGAGTGCAGGCCAGACAGAACCACAGCACTCACAGGAATGACTGTCCTGTGTCTGTATGTCTTTTTCCTAGGCTGTGTCCATATCGTCTCAGTGACCCCAGTCACATTCTTGTTCAGATTCATTAGGTCACCTCAGGCCTAGGCAGGGAGCCTGACTCTGTAACCCAAGCAGTTGTTGCAGACGGTTTGTCCTGGTTCCATATCTCTCGTGCCAGGCCCACCCTCACTTCCATCTGAGCTCCATTCCCAGCCTGGCTTCTTGCCCTGCTTCCCTTCCTCTGAACTTGGCTGTTTGCATCTGACCTCTTGGCAAGGTCGGTGGCTGGAACTCGCACAGTCCTCTTTCAGGTCTGCTTGTGAAGTCAGTCAGGATGGCGTGGTTAAATTTAAATAGAGCTTGAAGAAAACCCAAGCCACACTTTGACTTGAAGTCTCTCCTGCTTATCTGAAATGTTGATTTACCTGGGTAGCCTGGATTCATATTGTCCGACTCTGCCCTGTTCTCATTCTGCGTTTAATAAAACTACATACCTGCTCTGGACACAGCTTCCAGCCCCTGAATTCCCAAGAGTGGACTTCACACAAGACAGCTGCACCCCCTACCCCCTCTCATCCTTGTTGTAGAAGAACCGTCACCCTGTTATATCCACCTGCCAAAGTGGAGGTTGGTCCATATCTGCCTCTCAATCTTCCTCCCACTCGGCATGGATGGAGCTGGCTCTGGGCCCAGTAACTGACATATGCTCATTAGAAATGTCCAGGGCTCCAGGTGGACACACGTCTCCGGTGGCCGCATGTCTAGAAGTTCACAGTATACCATCAGAGCGAGCCAGAGACTCGGCACCTCCGTGTTTCACAGAGAACCGCTGGGACATGGTTTTGTCTCCTAGACAGGAGCTTGCCTCGAGGGTAGGATGCTCCCACAGAGCTGTGCCGAGTGGGAACCTGTGGGAGGAAGAAGAACCACAGCTCATGCTCTGACTGACCTCTGACAGCTGCAGAAGCCTACAAGGGTGCAGAGGAGAGACGTAAGAAAGAGTCTTCATCCAAGGCCAGCTCTGGGACCACGAGCCATGCGTCTTATAATGGGGGCACCAGATAAATGGAAATGCAACTGAGCATTCATGCCCGGGTCCCACTCCGCAGGTGAAAAGGATGCAGCTTCTGGAAGTGCAGACAGTAGAGAACTATGCACCACGGATGTGATGCATGTCACCATCTCCAGAGTCAGTCTAGCAGGGGGACGTCTGAGTGCATGTCTCACCTGCAGCTTATACTCACACCAGCACGCCAAATGCAGATCTGGGCCAGGCACGTGGAAGCAGGCCAGACCTAGAAGTTGGGTGTGCTTTAGCCGCATACATTTTCCTGACAGCCACAGGGCGTGTGCTGACACAATCCACGGTTGTGGGTCTCTACGGGTGGCCTGATTTCTCCTGGAAGGGACAGTAAGGCCGTGGCAGAGGAGAAGAGTCAACACTGGTGAAAGGGGGCACCAGGGTTTGTTACAGCTGCTTCCCACGCCCAGCCACCCGGCATGGGCCCTCCTGAAGGTCTGCAGAACTGGCAGTCTTTGGTTTTAAAAATCTCAGTAAACTGATCTCCGCGACTCTGAACCCATGACACCTTCCTTCCAGGGAGATGACAGACGTTACTCTAGGCCCACGACCATGCTGAGCAACTGAGGATGAGTTCAGAGAAGCATCCTTCCAGCAGTTATTTTGCAGATAGACAAAACAAACAAACAAACAATCAAACACACACTCATATAAGCAAATGACAGCAACAACTAGGCCTGCGGGGGTCCTTGCTGCCAGGCTTGTATGGAAGACGCAGGCTAGCTGTTTGCCTGCTTCCAGTCATCCGTTCCTGCCTCAGTCACATTGAATTAAGCTCGAGGTTAGCTGGAGTTGACAGTGAAAATGAGTCAGAATGTCCCTGTCACCGTTTTAGCACTTGCAAGACAGCTTCACCCCAAAATCCCCATCCGTAGAACAGAAGAATCCTATGGGACACACCCAGTGGCTGAAGGAGGATGTGTGTTGGGGGTGGTGCCCATGGCCCTGGAAACCGGAGAGTGAAATAAAAAGGTCAACTCCAGGGAGGTCTGCAGTCTCCATAGTGACATCTCAAGTGACACAGAGGTCACGGAAGGTTGCACTTAAGAGCCACAAAGCAGGGCGGCCAGAGTCTCTGGGAGAAGGTCAAAGGAGGTAACCGAGCAGGAAAATCAGCCAGGGCACAGGCTTGGAAGGGACCGCAGCCAAATGAGCCAAGACTCCCAACCTTTCCCTTCTTTTCCATGGGAATCTGTTTCCCCATGACGTCTTCGCTCTGGAGGGCTTGCTACACAGACCCTTTGGCCTAAATGTAGGCATGGCCCTTTGTCACAGTTCTGTCTGAAAGTGGCGCCATTGCTTCTATTTGGTGGCTTCCCTGGGATCTTTTGTGGTGTCCACAATAGCCACACCCACTCTGTGTTTCAAAGGGAAGGGGCCAAGCTGACAGGAACAGCCTGTGTCTTAGCACACTTCTCCCTGAGTAGATAATTGAGCCCTCGGGCTACAACTATAAGAGGGGTTTGCTGCTTCCTTTGCTGTGGGTTGCATGTGATTTGTCCCCAGAGGGTCACGACTTTAAAGGTGGTGGGACCTTAAAGAGCCTAGAGGAAGAGAGTGAGGTCATGGAAGCTTTGCTCTCGGAACAGATTAGCTTGGGTCTCACAGGCCTCACTAGTTCCCACTATTGTGCGGCCGTCTACCGCAAGGCTCTCAATGGGACAGAGCGGACATGAGCTTCAGGCTCTTGAGACTGCACAACAAGACATTATTACTTACTATATTTTTAACATCAATTGAATGATCATCGATTGTATGTGTATATGCACGCTTGCCCAGAGTGAGTGGTAGAATCATACTATTAAGTGGGTTCTGGGGATGAAACTCAGGTGGTCAGGCATGGCAGCAAGTACTTCAATAGCTGAACCATCTCGCTGGCCCTATTATCATTATTTAAATATTTATTTTATGTTTTATGTATGCATTTGTGTGTGTCATCTGTGTATGTGCTGGTGTCTGTGGAGGCTAAAGTAGGGCATTGGATCCCTTTGAGCTGGAGTTACAAGCATTTGGGAGCCTCCCGATGTGGGTGCTAGGATCCAAGTCCTGGTCCTCCAAAAGAGCAGGAAGTGACGGTCATAGAGTGTTCTAGTACTGTGAAGAGACACCAAGACCATGGCAACTCTTATGAAAGAAAGTATTTAACTGGGTCTCACTCAGTCTCAGAGAGTCAGTTCATTATCACCATTACAGGGAGCATGATGGCACACATGACGTGGCACGGAGAAGTAGCACGCATGACGTGGTACGGAGATGGCACGGAGAAGGAGCACACGAGAGCTCTACATCTGATCCATAGGCAGCAGGAAGAAAAGAGGGAGCCATTGTTGCTTTGTGGGCCCCTTGAAACCTCAAAGCCCACCCCCAGTGACATGCTTCCTCTATTAAGGCCACACCTACCCCAACAAGGCCACACCTCCAAATCCACTTCCTGCTGACCATGCATTCAAATATATGAGCCTGTGGGGGTCATTCTTACTCAGGCCACCACGTGATTTTGACCGTTTAGCCATCCCTTCAACCCTTATAACTGGGCATAAGTGAACCTCTTTTGAAAGTGCTCACCCTGGAAGGTGTGAGTGAGGCAAACTAGACTAAGATATTGTTTGATACAACTCTATCTGCATCATTATCCTCATCATACAGCGAGATTGCCTGCATCCACCTCTTGCTGTCTTCCTCCTTCAAAGCCAGCAATGACTGGTTCGTTCTCTCTCTCTCTCTCTCTCTCTCTCTCTCTCTCTCTCTCTCTGTCTCCTTCTCTCTCTTTCACACACATACACACACACACACACACACACACACACACACACACAAGGCACTGTTCTGACCTCTGCTCTCACTACCATACTTCCTTCCCTAATTCACTGTCCTGCCCCCATCTAAGGACCCCTTGAGTCACTTGGACTCACCTGGTTGATCCAGGATAATCTCTTATTCCCAAAGCCCTTACCTTATCCTGCGCCTTGTTGGAATCACAGTCACAGGTTTGGGCACTCATGTGTGGGTATCTGTGGGAGAAGGTGATTCTTTGGATGGCCCACCTCCTCATCGTCCTTGCCTTGCTCCTACTGGGACTGGAATGGCTCATTTCCACACCCCCACTTACCTAAGCCTGGGTCCAGAGCCCAAGGCCACTGTGTTAGTTACCTTTCTCATTGCTGAGACCAAATACCAACAGGAAGCAGCTAAGGGAGGAAGCTGCCATTCTGACCTCATTCAGGAAAGGGTACAGTCTGTTATGGTAGGGACGTCACAGCAGCCAGAGTGTGAGTTGGCTGGCTGGGTACATTGCAATCAGGAAACAGGGCCAGGCTATCAAACCCCCAAGGTCCTCCCCTCGTAATCTGCATCTCCCAGCACTGTTCTATCTCTGAAGGTTCCACAGCCTCTCAAAGCAGCAGCACTAACTGTGAATATTTCACAAGCAAACTACCATAGGAACTGTCATAAACTTCTGAGAAGTCGAGTCCCCCTGCTATTTGGGTTGTACTCTGTCATGCTCCTGAAGTGCGGGGAATGTGAGACTGACCTCAGGTGACCTCTTCCTACCCTCCCCCCCACACTCCGGGTGAACCAGAACCTCTGGAGATCAGACCCTTTCAGGCTAAGAGAGGAGGATTGATAGGACCTGAGCTGGATGCTCTCGTTCATGCCATGGTTCCTCAGGAGGTGGGAGGAAGAGCCTCAGGTAAATTTAAGCCCCCTGGAGCAGACCCCAGACTGATCGTTTTGTGTTCTAGATTCTGGGTCGATGCCCAGCTACCTCAAGGTCCACACCACAGGGTAAGAGGTGGGACTAGGCTAGATCCCAGCATCTAGAGGAAATGGCTCTGAAAGGCAGAACTACCCAAAAGGTAAGTGCTGTGGGTGCTACAATAGCTCAGGATTCTGCACACGTTTCTAAAGCTTTTGGTCCGGTCAACATCTCTTTGAGGGCTGCAGCTCAGGGTGGGCATTGCCACACTTTTTCTGAGCACCACCCCCTCTCCGCTCTGCTCTCTGGTCTGTCTGCATTTAGTCCTGCTGGTTGCAACCACAGGTAGGCATTTTGTTGTTTTTCTTGAGACTGGGTATCACTATGTAGCGTGGGCTGGTCCAGAGTTTGCTATATAGACTAGGCTGACCCGAAACTCAGAGATTTGCCTGCCTCTGCCTCCTGAGTGCTGGGATTGAAGGTGTGTACCGCCCTAAATGCTGGGATTGAAGGTGTGTACCGCCACCACCAGCTAAAAAGGTAGATTTTTAAAGAACTAAGCTGAGAGAGAATGGGATTCTAGTCCACACTGAAAAGTGCCCACAGGTAAAGAAAATTCAAATGCAGTCACCAGAGTACAGGAAATCAACTCTGCAGACTTATAGGCCAGCTGGAGAGGTAGGGGACAGGCTTCCATCAGAGACCCAGTAGCCCCCAGGCAACAGGCTGAGTGCTTACCTATTCCCCCCCACCCCAATCCCTTTCTCTCTCTTGCTGGGCTTGCTCCTTGTGAGGTCCCTCGAGTTTAAGTTGGAGAAACAGGAGACCCAGCCCCCCACCCCTTTTTTTCAGAGACAGATGATACAAGTTAAGCACACACAAGCCCAAGTCTGTAATTATCTGTCCCCTAAGGCCTCCTGCCACACTCCTGGGGAAAAAAAGTTCCTACATCCTCCCTTGCTGGGCTTCAGACTATACTGGGAGATTCTAACGACCTCAAATTGCAGCTTCCCTGAGCTGCCCTGCTTTGTGATGAAGGGAAAACAGAGAGCAACCACCTCAAAGCCCAGTTTGGTATAATAACAGGCAAGCCTAACAGCAGGGCAGATCTGTGGTACATCCAGCTCCCTGGCTCCACAGAGCTTGGCTCAGCCTGGGCATCTGCTCCGAATCAGGGTCCGAGCCTTCTCAATCCTAGCGATTATTCCACTCAGTCACCGTCCCCCGAGGCTGCCAGAGACAGCATGTAGACCCATGAGCATCGCTGAGGTCCCCAAATATTTACACAAACAAGTGACAGTGGAATTTGGCCTGGGGACAGTAGCTTATGGATTCCCGTTCTAATTTGTGAAACAAGATTCAAGAAGGTGTCTAGCACGAAGGAATGTTGAGAAAAGTTAAAACATCCCCCTCCCCCAGGGCTGTGATGAAAAACTGGCCGACGGGAGTGTGATAGAGGCTTGTTCTGAGCAGGGTGTGTCAGAAAGCTGGGCCAGCTGCTCCAGATGGCTCGTATGCTGATGTCGCTGCAGATCCTGGTATCCCTCTTCATCTGCCTGGGCCACTGCATATGTAGAATGGGATGGCGGCACACATGAGTGTTAGGTCACCAAAGTCAGGTTCCCTTAAAGAGTCCCCAAATACCTTGTGTATCCCTAACCATATGGAGGGCAAAGGGGAAGGAAGGAAGCCTGCAGGGCCTGGTAACTGCACCTTGAATTCTTTATGGGTTGTCTATCTGTTCTCATCTTTCCAACCCATCTACTTCATCTACCGCTGGGTAGATCTGTCTGCTGGGCAAGCCCAGCAGGTTTCCAGCAGGTTTCAATGTCTCTTCCCTGGAGCAGACACATGGCAGAAAGGAGCATTTGGCTCACAGTCCCATCCTGCTGGGGTTCTGGCTGCCGTGGTGGGAGCCGGTTGTACTTCCACCAGTCAGGAAACAAACCTGAGTCTACTGAACATGGCTACATGACCTCACGCCAGGCCTCAGTAATCTACTTCTACCAGCAATGCCACGCTTCTCTAGGGTTCTATGACTTCCCAAACAACACCACCAGCTGGGAGCCTTGCGAAGGCCACTTTCCATTTAAACTAGAGCAGGCTGCTTCCCCATTTAAGATGTTCAATGTCTCTAAACCAGTGGCTGTCAACCTTCCTAATGCTGTGACCCTTTGGTGCAGTTTTTTCTGTGGTGATGACCTCCAACCATAAAATGATTTTGGTTGCCACTTCATAATGACTTTTGCTGCTGTTCTGAATTATAAGATAAATATTTGATAGGTCACTCCCATGGGGGGCACGACCCACAGGCTGAGAATCACTGAAGGGTGTGTGCCATAACCCCGACAGACTGTCCCTGTTGGTGTGAAGACAAAACATGTGTTCTCTGTATGGCTGTTTCCCGAATTTGGAAATCATGTTGTTTTATTCTTCTATTGCTGTGTGCCAGTCACTGTTAAACTGAGTGCCTTGGAGCAATAAACGTCTTTGCCTACAGTGTCTGTGCACAAGGAAATCCTGAGACGCCTAGCCCGAAGGCTCTGGCCTGAGGCTGAAGGCAAGATGTTAGCATCTGAAGACTTGAATGGGCTGCCTCTCCCACGGGGCACTTGGCAGGCAGTGCCCTTCCTTGTGGCTGCTTGCTGGGGGCCCCGGTTTCTTGGCATTGGATCATTCCATCCAGCGGCATAAGCAACTTTATGCTATCAGCTGGCTTCCCCAAAAGGGGGCTCAAAAAAAATAAAAAAAAAAAAAAAGGAGCACACTTGAATGCCTGGGACAACCTGTCCTTAGGAGCCAAATGCCTCACTTGTGTTAAATTCTATTCAGGGCTAAGAAGAGGCACAAAGCACACCTATATTCAAGAATTAACGGGCACTCAACCATGCCCCGGCTTTGCAACGAGCACACTGATGTATGGAGCCATGTAGACTAAGAATCCACTGTGCCCCCTTGCTTTCTTGATCTCCAAGCTTTGAAAATCCTCTGCTCTTGTCAGCACAAGACAGTCGGAGTTAGCAGCCTCTGCTCTTGGACATGCAGCCTTCACTCCCTCAGGCATTCTCCCCTTGCAGTACCCAAGGGAGGAGGGTCATGGCAATACCAGGGGCACAGGCCTCTCTCTCTGGGAGGTCTTCCCATGCGGACACTTAGCTTTCGTCACTCTGGATTCTCCCAACTGTAGGGTCACCAACCATTGTCCAAGGAGCATTGTGGGTTGGCAGGGGCTGTGCCCAAATATTCAGAATCCTGAATTGCAAAAGCTTCCTGTAGACACATTCCTTGTGCCATTATTAAAGACAGAAAGATGCTTCCATTGCTTCAAATTCTTGCTGAAACAAATCACTGCCTGATGCAGCAAGAGCGCCTGCCTGGCACAGTCGTATTTACAGAGTCGCAGAAGGAGGTGGGGCAGGGAGCAGAAAGCCTGTGCACACGACGCTGAGAGCATCATGTGGCTGTGAGTTGCAGGCACGTGGGAGCAATTAACATTCTTCTCTGAGCAGAAGGCAACCCTGCGGTTGGTACCCCTTGGCGCCTGTTGCCATGAGTCATGTTCCCCCCAAGTGTCTGCAGCCCATTTCCCAGTGACTGTGCCCTGCACCCATCACCAACCGTCCAAGTCTGACCTTTGCCACCTGGAGATGGCATGGAATGGCACTTGTGATTCATGTTGGGTCCTCCGCGGTTTCTAAACTTGGATGCCTGCCCCAGAATCCTGTGTACCCTTCCCGGTCCTGATTTTCTGAATGCCTCCTGTGTTCTGAATTTTCCAGAAGTTGACATGAAAACAGGGACCTGCCATCCTTGAGAAGCTCCTTAAAGAGCTGGCAAAATTTTTCCCAGTTCAAAGAAAAATGAAGGGCTGCAGTGGTCATGCTAAATACATACAGGGCGAGGTCTCTTTCCAAGTTTACCACTAGTGATAATTCAGTAATGGCTGAGAGGATTACCCCCAAATATTTCAACATTAATCACGTGATGTTTCTAGAACATGGTGGAAGGTACTTGCTTCTTTCCCAAGGCACAGCTTTTGCTGCAATATCACAGAGAAAAACCCCAGGTTCTGACCCCTCAAAGAATCCATAAAAGACAGAGCCTCATTTTTAATGAGGAAACCCTGTACCTGTGTTCTTCAGACAGGTGTCTAGGCCTGGCACGACTTCCAAACTAGAGATGTGGAATTCCCCTCTGTATGCTATGAATACCATTGGTTAATAAAGAAGCTGCTTTGGGTTGCAGTGCAGACTAGGGCAAGGTGGAATTTCAAGCAGATAGAGGAGGAGAGAGTAGGTGGAGTCAGGGAGAAGCCATGCAGCTGCCGCAGGAAACAGATGTGCCCAAAACTGTATCAGTAAACCGCGAGCCTCATGCTAAAATATAAAATAATAAAAATGGGTTAATTTAAGACATAAGAGGTAGCTAGAAATATATGTAA